ATTCAGTGGATTGGATAAGAGCGGAAGTATTCAGCCGGATGATGCAAGCGCTAGAAACATTTGCAAATATCATAATGGCTTTGAGTACTGAAATTTCTGGGTTCAAAACAAATTAAAGGAAATTAAATTTCGATTAAGGTTTTGCCCCTTAGTATTGGTTAATCAAAGGAGCGCCAAACCAAACTATACAAATCTGCTAATGTGTGCTATCTTTTTAGGTCCAAAGCAATCTCGATATTCCCTTTGGTTTGTCGTATAATAACTCAAAACTAACATCACTTTCTTTCTTAGTCTGTGTGAGTTAAGTTGTAATTAATGCTTCTGGTAGCGTTTTTGGCCAAGCTATCAGCTTATTTTGAGAAGTGTTTTTCTTAAAAGTACTTTTGGTAAGAAGCAGTTTATGTTTGGATAATTAATTTGAAAAACACTTCTGAGCATCAATTAGTGTTTGACCAAACTTTTAAAAACTGCTTCTAAGTGTATTTTTCTCAAAAGTGCTTTTCAAAAAGTGCTTTTGGAGAGAAACTACTTTTTTATGCTTCTCCAAAACTACTTGTGCTTCTCCTCAAAAGCACTTTTTTTCCTTTCAAAAGCTTGGCCGAACACTTCAACATTGATTGTCGAACACTTCCATTTTTGGCCAATAGTATCCTGCTTTAATTAGTGTTTTTACCAACGATCTTCCCCCAGCATGATTGCCGCGATGCCCTCATTTACTTCTCTCATTACGTATTCTGTTTGTGAAGGTCCAAGGCATCGTGCTAAAGGTCCACCAAATATTTTGCGATACAAAGTCCCTCGTATCAAGTAATTTTGAGCAGCCTTCAACCGTAGTAATTGGGATTTCTTTTTATCCACGAGCAAAATTCCATACTACAAAATTTTACAAAATCGTTTCTCTAATCCCATATTAAATTATTGAAATTTACCTCATTCTTGGTTTCATCGAGGGCCGAATGAAATAAGTGTACCACAACAGCATTTTTTGCATAGTGATGGATGCGAGATTTGCCAATGCGCCTGCTTCTGCATTTTTCCTCCTCGGGTATTTGTATAGCTTTCCATATCTGGAACTACCTCAACAATTCTCGTACCTTTTCAAGGTACTGTTGCATTCGTGTTTCTCTTGCCACGTAAGTTCTTGCATTTGATTGACTACTAACTGTGAGTCACTTTTGATTACGGTTTATTCAATACCAAACTCTCTGGGGAGCTCCAAACCTACAATCACAACTTCATACTCTTCCTCGTTGTTAGTAATTGGGTAACATTTTATTGTTTGCCTTATGATTTCACCTGAGGGCAGAATTAAAACAATTCCCAAACCTGCTCTTTTAACGTTTGAAGAACCGTCAGTAAACAAGGTCCAAGTCCCTGGATTATCTCCGATAAATATTCGTTGTCTTTTACTGCTTCAGGAATTAGGCTTGAGCTAAAATCTGCTAAGAAATATGCTAACACCTGAAACTTTATAGCAGTTAAGGCTGGTATATGATATTATATTCGCTAAGCTTTATAGCCCATTTAGCTAACCTTCCTGATAATTCTTATTTATGTAATATATTCCTTAGTGGAAAAACAGTTACAACAGAAATATGATGACATTGAAAGTAAGGTCGTAACTTCCTTGATGCCATAATTAAAGCTAAAGCAAGTTTTTCTAAGTGAGGGTATCGTGTCTTAACATCTAATAAAGACTTACTAACATAATAGATCGAAGATTGTTTACCTTTGTCTTCATGTATAGGTACCACGCTTACCGCCACTTCTGAGACAACAAGGTAGATGAGCAATCTTTCCTCATCCTTTAGCTTTGCTAACAGGGGCAGTTTTGACAAGTACGACTTTAAATCTTTCAGAGCTTGTTGACATTCGTCAGTCCATTCAAACTGATTTTGCTTTTTCAATACTGAAAAGAACTTAACGCATTTTTCTGGTGATTTGGATATAAACCTTCCTAGAGCCGCTACCCTACCTGTTAATCTCTATACTTCTTTCTTTCTCATGAGTACATCAGGTATTTTTTCAATAGATTTGATCTGCGTGGGATTTAATTGAATACCCCCAAAAAGTTACCTGAAGCCACGCCAATAGCGTATTTTTCCGGGTTCAACTTCATGTTGTACTTGCGAAGAATTTCGAAGGTTTCAGCCAAATGTTGAAAATGGTCCCCTTCTTGTGTTGACTTGACCAGCATATTATCTATGTACACCTCCATAGTTTTTTCCAATTGTTCTTGAAATATTTTGGTCACCAATCTTTGATACGTTGCCAGCATTTTTCAAGCTAAATGGCATGACTTTATAGAAATAAGTCTCACTATCAATGATAAATGGGGTCTTTTCCTCATCTAGAGGGTCCATTTTTATCTGATTATAACCAGAATAAGCATCTAAAAAACTTAAAAGCTCATGACCTGCGGTAGAATCAATTAACTGGTCTATGTGCAGTAAAGGAAATGAATATTTAGGACAAACCTTATTTAAATCAGTATAATCTACATAGACTCGTCACTTTCCATTCTTTTTTTGGAACCACAACAGTATTATCTAGAAAGTTAGGGTACTTTACCTCTCATATTGAATGAATTTTCAAAAGTTTTTGTACCTCATCCTGGATTACTTGATTTTTAAATGCTCTTTGCTTCCTTTTCTTCTGTTTAACAGGTGGATGTAATGGATCCTCATTCATCTTATGGGTTATCACCTTCAACAATATACCTGTCATATCTGAATGTGACCAAGCAAAGCAGTCTGCGTTAGCACGTAAAAATTGAATTAACTTACCTTTCATTTTCGGGCTCAAGTTTGCTTCGATGTAAACTTTTCTGTCAGGTCAGTGGACAAATAATATTACATCTTTGAGCTCCTCCATGGTTATTTTGATATTCTCGTTTTCGTCTGGTTCTTGAATCATATCAGGCCTTGAATCCGTATCAGTTTGACCTTGTAAACGCTTAGTTGAGGTGTGAATAGAATTATCTCCAACTGAATTTTTTAATTTCTATTTTGCATATGCATTATTGGATGTTATATTTACAATTACCACTGAATTAATATTTTGTTACGCTTGTTAATCTCCCGGGATTTGTCGGATCCCCCGCTGTGATGGGAATTTGATGACTTGATACAACGTGGACGGAACATCATCCATATCATGAATCCATAGCCTACCCAAGATTATATTATAGGCCATTTCCGCGTCTATTACCTGGAGCTTTGTGCATTTGCTGACACCTTTTGCAAATGTAGCTAATACAACTTCCCCTTTCGTAACGACGCTCGAATTATCGAACCCAGATAATGATCATGCTTTTGGCATGATTCTATCATTCGCTTGCATTTTATTTACCACTCTCAATAAAGTTTCATTGAGCTACCTGGGTCAATCAAAACTCGTTTAACATTAGCATCATGTATAAGTAAAAATATTACCAGTGCATTATCCTGAGGAATGATCAAGCCATCTGCATCTTTGTCATCAAACACTATGATGTCTCCTTCCAAGACTTGGCAAACTCGTTTCATGTGGGTGACAGTGACCTTTGATGTCTTTTTAGCAGTCGTGTACGTTACCCATTAACTTCTTCTCCCCCCGGTTATGACGTTTACAGTTTTTTTGGAGATGGAGGCTTCAGCGGTTCCTGCCTATTTTTCATGTATGATTTTTTTCCTTTTTCACTGAACAGATAATTGAGATAGCCTTGCTTATATTCAACTTCCCTTTAAGAGCCTACAATCTGCTGTTCTATGGCCATGATGATTGTGAAACTTGCACCAAAATTCTAGGTTCCTTTTGTTTGGATCCAATCTCATCTCTTTTGGCCATCGTACCTTGTCTCCCATTCCTCTTAAAATAGCCACCAATTCAAAAGTGCCGACATTGACACTATAATCTCCAATCCTTGCTTGAGTGTTGGAATTATCACGACCCAAACCGATGGGCCGCGACGAGCACCCGGTACCATACTCAACCGAGCACCAACGTAACGTATCTTTCTTATTACATCATCATATACACGTGACATATGTGCCTAATAGGCCAACATGATCTTTTATAAACACGAAACAAAGTCGACAAGGCCGCACAATCTTTCACGTACACGACATATGTCTACAAGCCTCTAAGAGTATATAAGTATCATAAAGGTCGGGACAGAGTCCCGCCATACCACACAATACACGTCTAAATCATACTATCCAAACACGCAACTCCGAAGCAAGTAGAGCGCACCAATATCTTCCATTGAGCTGATAGCCTACTTGGAGGGCTCTTGACCTGTCTATCTGGACCTGTGGTCATGAAACGCAGCATCCCTAGGCAAAAGGGACGTCAGTACAAATAATGTACCGAGTATGCAAGGCACATAAATAAGTACATGAGAGACATGGAAGAAATATAGAGTACATGACTCAACCTGTAAGTCTGAATAACTTTTAGCATCATGCATATGTGTATGAATGTCATGTCGTGCATATGTACATGTTTCATAACATCATCAGCCTCTGAGGGCATCCCATCATATCATATCGGTTACTGTGGGCAAAATCATCATCGTATACCAGCTGATCAGGTGGTGGAGCGTATATAATGTCATAACCTTTCCCATATCCCATATACGTATATATACATACATATATACGCGTATATAACACTGTTTGAATCATATTTCAGCCATTGTGGGCAACATCATCATCATCATATACCAGCTGATCAGGTGGTGGTGCGTATATAACGCCATCTGGTCAAGGGTCAATGCACATGTATAAATGAGTGAAATGCATGAAAAATATA